TAAAAGATCCCGCATGCCACAATGAAGATCCTGTACGCGGCAATGAAGATCCTGCGTGCCACAACGAAGACCAGGCGCAGCCAAACAAACAAATAATAAATAAATATTTTAAAAAATAAAATAAAAATAAAACAATTTACTATATATTATTGATGTGTTTTATTCTGCTTCCCAAAATGACAGGGTTATACTTAAGACATAGATTTGTGGACATTGATCTTAGAATTTTGAGTATGAAGCAGTTTAAAACATTTTTTATGCCTGTTTTCAGACAGCATGGAGCTGAGCTATTTATAAGGCTAAAAATGAAATCTCCCATGCATCTTTCAAATTTTAATTTATAATCTACAAGCAATAAATGCTGGAGAGGATGTGGAGAAAAGGGAACCCTCTTGCACTGTTGGTGGGAATGTAAATTGATACAGCCACTCTGGAGAACAGTATGGAGGATCCTTAAAAAACTAAAAATAGAACTACCGTATGACCCAGCAATCCCACTACTGGGCATATACCCTGAGAAAACCATAATTCAAAAAGAGTCATGTACCAAAATGTTCATTGCAGCTCTATTTACAATAGCCCAGAGATGGAAACAACCTAAGTGTCCATCATTGGATGAATGGATAAAGAAGATGTGGCACATATATACAATGGAATATTACTCAGCCATAAAAAGAAATGAAATTGAGCTATTTGTAATGAGGTGGATAGACCTAGAGTCTGTCATACAGAGTGAAGTAAGTCAGAAAGAGAAAGACAAATACCATATGCTAACATACATATATGGAATCTAAAAAAAAGAAAAATGGTTCTGATGAACCTAGGGGCAGGACAGGAATAAAGACGCAGACATAGAGAATGGACTTGAGGACACGGGGAGGGGGAAGGGTAAGCTGGGACGAAGTGAAAGAGTAGCATTGACATATATACACTACCAAATGTAAAATATTTAGCTAGTGGGAAGCGGCCACATAGCACAGGGAGATCAATTCGGTGCTTTGTGACCACCTAGAGGGGTGGGATAGGGAGGGTGGGAGGGAGACGCAAGAGGGAGGGGATATGGGGATATATGTATACATATAGCTGATTCACTTCGTTATACAGCAGAAATTAACACAGCATTGTAAAGCAATTATACTCCAATAAAGATGTTAAAGAAATTTAATTTGTATATCACTCTCTTACTCTTTAATTTAAATATCACATTCTTTAATTTAAATATCACCAGTAAAATGGTTCCCACATTGAAAGGTAAAAGCTATGTTGGTTTATTTTCATATTGTAAGTCAAGCAGACAGGCTTTCCCCTATCTGCCCTGTCACTTTGTTAGTCCTGAAGTGATCTTTAAAGAAACACAAAGATAATGTTCTGTTTTTCCTCTAATCTTTCTCCTTCCTTCCTTTACAGTTTCTCCAGTGCTATTTTGTTAAATATACTGGCCCTTTGGCCAGCTTCTGTGATAACACTTTTATTTGTATTAGGAGCTGGTTGTATGCCCATATTTAAAGCTACAAACACTGCAAGCTTTAGACATCAAGTACTGTTTGTGAGCTCACCTCTGACATTTAATACTAATGATGTGCTTTGTAAATCCAAATGAGGGAATATGTTAGAGAAAAAATCCGAGGGGTCAAACAGTTGATACATATGAGACATCATCCTGAAGTCAGAAATATTGTTTTTGGTTGGGAACTAATGATTGTGAAATAATTGTGAAACTAACACCTACACAAACAAATGTGTTTTCATGTTGACCAGTTAAAGTTGAATCACTTGGAATGGTATCCATTATGATTTTTCTCTGCTATATTAATGCCATTATACATGTAGCTAGTAAAAATATTATCCTCTGGTACAGCACATGTTAATAAGTTAGCTGGGCAAAGAGTCTTCTCTCATTTCACATGCTCAGTTAGTACATTGCATAATTAAAAGGAGCTTTTATTCTAAAGCATGTGGAACTATTTGCTTTTCCATGACACTCTGTCAGTGTTTGCTTTTTATATAGGAAAATATATTCTTCCAAAGATGTGAATGTTGGCTGTGACAGCTGTTACTTCCAAACATTCCATGCAGGATTTCTCACCTGAGAAAAGACTGGTTACAGCTGTCAGGGACATATCTCAGAAGCACTGTCTTTCTCTTAAATAAACTGGAACTTGCATAAGACTATATGCTTATAATTTGTGATTGGCCAAAAACTGAAGCAGAGATTTTTCATAAAATGTTAATTTTTATTGAATGTGTTAGACCAGATTTCATACTGTCTATATCATTTAACCTTTTCAACTTAGTATGTAAAAATTACTTTGATGCAAATAACTCTACCTTGTTAAACCAGTTATTACAGTTTTTTTAAATAAATTCAGTTATTATTCATACAGGCTAAAACCCTGGCATTTTTAGATGCCTTAGCTGAGTATTCAGTGGCTCCTAATTCAGGTGTGTGTTCGTTTCAGCTTAGACCAAGAGTTTAAACAGTAAGGTTGTGAACCATAATGTTGCATTTTTCTTGCCCAGCTAGCATGTGGAAAAAAAATACAAAAGTATGAAATGATACATGCCTGTGGCTATTTATTAAAGCACTAACTGTAAAAACAAAGGACTGGAAACAACTCAAATGACCATCAACAGGGCATTGGTAGGAAAAAACTATCATAAAACCATAAAATAGGTTACTGTATAGCTGTAGCATAAAATGAGGAAGTCTCTATACTGGAAAACATAGTGTTAAAAGTGAGAGAAGTAATATACATAGGAATGTATAGTATGCTAATTTTGTGTAAGAAAGAAGAGAATATGTATACTTATATTTTCAGAAATAAGCAATGGAAGGATAAAAATCAAAACCTAATAAAAAATGATTACCTATGGATTGGGGGGATGGGATAGGAAAGGAAACCTAGACTTCTCTGAATGATGTTGTTTTAATTTTGACTTTGAAAGCATGTAAGTGTTTTATGCAATTAAAAAACAAATATTAATTATGAAAACAGTAGAGCAAAACAAGATTTAAAAAAAAAAACTGAAACAAATGAACCTAACTATATATCAAGTTGGTAGCATAATCACATGGAGAATCATTTCAAGTGACTTTAGAGTATAGTGTTTTGACAATTCATCAGTGGAATAAATCCTAAGATCAAAAAGAGCCATAAAGAAATTTTAAACTATTAATTCATCTTGTTAATAGTAATATTTGTCTTATTATTTTGAAACTAATATATATTCAACTCACATATTAGGAAAAACAACTAAGTACTTTTGATCACATCATTAAGGCCTAATATTCTTAGAATAAGAGAAAAGATATACAAATATAACTCACATTCGATTTTCTTTTCTAAAAGTATGTATTTCCTACCCCACCCACTGAAAAAGCTGAGAAGCGGTGACAATCAAGTAACAACAAACACCCCTACTGCTCAGGTTACTGTCTTTAAGTATCATTCGCCACTAAAAGGAATCCAGGCCCTTTGGAGAAATGGCTGATTTCAAGTCTGAGACAGGAACTGTACAGGATGAACCTGGGACATCTTATCACACTTTAACAAAAGAGATCATATCAAAAGGATGCAGGGACCAACATGAAGAGGCTCCCACTACCCAAAGGTAGAATCAAAATATGAAAATGACCACGATGGACTGAAGTACATTACATATATAAATATTCATGAGCTCATAATGGTCATCTTTGGACCAAAATTGATAAATTAAGGGAAAGAATTAAATATTTATTCTGCCTTTTCCTCTAGACTATATTTCACAGTTACAAAGTAGTCAATGAAGGAAGTTCTTCGAATCACAGCTAATAAATGCAGGACAAATAATAGAATTAGAAAAAAATGACCATTTTGCAATGTCTAATAAAATAATGGAGCTAAGCAACAAACATTGTCTGCTAAAACCATGAAGTGAAAGGTTGGTGGAGAACTAGGGTCAGGCTGACATCCCCTTGGACACACTGATCAATCTTAACATCATTAGAAGTGGGAGAAGCACATCCTGATATGATGTAATAGGAATTACATAGCACCACCTGTGATGTATTCTTTACCAAAAGAAATTGAACCTGAATCTTACCCCTGTCTAGATCTAACTGCTGGTTTACACAAAATATGAAGGACAGAAGAACATGTTAAATGACACCATGAGAATAAAATCAGCAAAATCCAGAATGTAGAAAATTGTAAAGGCTAAATGATCCATTTTCTTCAATAAATAAATGACAATGAAAGGAAGGGATGGTGGACCATATGTGATTAAAAGGAATTTAAGATACTTGTCGACTAAGTGTAATGTGTGGACCTTGTTTGGATCCTCTTTCAGACAAACCAACTGTAAAAAAAGCACTTGGACAATCAGTGAAAATTAAACATGGATTATGTAAGATGATATTAAGGAATTATTACTGATAACGTTGGGTTTAAAGATGGTATTGTAGTTATGTTGCTAGTTTGTTTTGTTTTTTTAAGCCCTTATCTGAGATGCGTAAAAAAATATTTAGGGGTAACATGGCATTATGTCTGGGATTTACTTTTAAATACTCCAGGTCCACCCCCCAAAATTGAAGTGGGCATGGATAGATTAAATAAGAATAACAGAAAATTAATGATTACAGAAGCTGAGTGATGGGTGCAGATGGATTCATTGTGCTCTTATTCCTTTTTCCTTTTATGTATTTCCATAGTAAAATTGGAAAAAAAATGTAAAGTCCTCCTTCCAGATTAGCACAGATTAGCTTGGATCATTTTAGCAGTACCTTCTCAGCAATGTTTTAGGTTTTAGGTGAGAGTCTTAGTGGATAGGAATGTTATCTTTGTGGGTCTCCAGGGGGGGCAAAAAGTTTCTATTATAACTTAACCATAATGTCTTTTTTTTTCCATCCAGTTAAATTTCATAAGTCATAAAATTACTTCATAGAAAGAACATTGCTTAGGTATAGTGTTGATAACAAGCTGACAAACCAGAATACACTGACATAATACCCTCTTTTTTAGACCAAGCCACCCTGGTAGAACAAGTAAAAAGAGTCAAAGAAATTGAAGCCATTGAAAGTGATTCTTTTGTTCAGCAAACATTCAGATCAAGTAAAGAAGTCAAAAAGGTAAGTTTTCATCAAGGCATTATGAATAAGCCTTTAGATTCCAACTAAAGGGATGCTTTATTAATGGATTTTACTTAAATGTAAGTGCTTCTTCTTCTAATAGATGAAGTAGGGTGAGAGTGTATCAGCATGTTATTGAGAGAGAGAATGAATCAGTGAGAATCAGTTCAAGTTTAACTTGTTAAAAAAAAACTGTGAAAATGTATCTGATGCCATTTTTATTTTAAAATTCACCAAGAAGGCAAAGTATAAGATGTCAACATACAGTTCTATAACAGTAATACACATTTCATGAATGTACAGTTTTCTTTTCAAATGTATACATCTACTTTTTGAATTGACATTGCTAGAGAAAAGTTAGAAAAGAACTTTAACAATAAAATTATTACCCAAATAGTAACATATATTTGCACTCTTTGCCCATATGGGTATCACTTATTCAACTCTAATAAAAGGAGCTTTGATTGGCATTTTATTTCTGTTGAATATTTCATGTATTCTTTCAATCATTGTCAGGGCTGCTTTTTGGAATTTGTGTTCCTTTAGTTGGAAAAAGCTGTCTACTGTGAAATACATGTATTCTTCAATATCATACATCTAATGAAGACATGGTATAGCTATCACTTATTCAAAAATACTCTATATCTGTAGATATATTAATGACTGTATAGTATTCTACTAATGAATGTATCATAATTTTTTTTCTCTGATATTTTAGTAGTTGTAAGTTTGGAGCTGTTACATACATGTTTGTGAATATCCATTATTATCACCTTAGATAAAATTTTCAAAATGGAGTTGTTAAAGGTTAATATTGTTTATTTTCATACCTGTTCCCAAAGTCATTCACCCAAAATATTGTATCAATTCAAATTCCACCTCGAAATGCAGGGAGATGTCTGTCTCTCACACCCTGGTTAACACCAAGTCTTATCAGACTTTTCCATGTTTACTGACCTGATAGGTAAAAATTGACCTTTTGTTGTTCCATTAGCATTTCTTTTGTTATTAGTGAGATGGACACCTTTTCAATTACCATATGTATTTTAAAATAATTCATTATGGGGACATGAATTGAGCATGTGCAGGATGCCAGGATGCACTAGACAGCCTTGGTTAATCCATGGTCCTTGCCCTGTTATTTTGCTGATTTCATCTGAATATTTTGTAGTTTGCCACCACAACTCCTGAAAAAAAGGAGCTGTGAAATGGACATTCACAAATATAGTTGCCTATTTTATTAAATATCTTACTCGTACTTATTAAGAAGTCCTAAAAGAATTGTAATTTGTTTTGAAGTTTACTTGCATAGTATTTGTTTTCTGGAGTTCACCTTGACTTCCCAGTTCTCACTGCACACACTTAAGATAACCTAGCATTTTCTTTCTGTGGAAATATTTATTCCTCTATGTTAATACACTAGGTTTTCTTCTAAACAACTTTTTCCCATTTGGTATTAATTATTAATATAGTAAATTTATTTTTAATTCCATTCCTCTCCTCCAAGATACTAAGAGTTCTTCCAGTAACTAGTAAAATTGGCAGTGAGTAAGGAAATTGATCTAAAATATAGCGGAAAGAGCATGGGCTCTGGACTCAAGGAGATCTGAGTTTGAATCTTAACTTTCACACTTCCTAACATGATTGATGATCTCGAGAAAACCTCTCAACCTCTTTTCAAGCCTCAGTTTCCAAATTCATAAAATAGAGCTAATAATTCCTACTTTTTAGAGTAACCGAGGGTTAAATATAATGATTATCAAATATGTAACATGGTTCTTGATCCATAAAATGTTTGTTTTAAAATTATATACTCTAGCATCTAAATTATTTGCTATCTAAGTATATTCTATAAACTAAGTATGGTGCTTGAAAACTTCTACTACTATAGGCATTCAGACTGTCTGAAGTATAAACCTTACCCCATTTACATTTCTCTAATATGTCCCTTACTTTCCCTGAGTCTCCATGCTCACCAGTAAGACAGACCCCTTGCTGAGAAACACAGAAATTCTTTAGATATCTGGTTGCACCTTAAAAGATTTTTTAAATGTAATAATATCCATATATTTGAATTCCAAGGTTAGTCATTTTTTTACCTTGTTTATATTCTCTAGAAAAGTTTTAAAATATTATTTCTTATAGTTATTAATCTTAAGATAACTGATTAAATCCAAGAGAAAAACTCTTCTTCCCATATCTATAACAAAACCCTATATATAGTTAAATGGGCTTCCCTTGGGAGCAGTTTAAAGGAATTTCACCTACATCTCTCATCAAAGGGACCACCATTATTAATTATTTTAATAATTAGTTTTTGTTTGCTTTAGTTTTTAGTGCTGAGTTGGAATTTACTCAGCTTCAATGTAGCTTTTCTTGTACTTCCAACTTAGATGCCACCATTAAGGATTGAGAGGTCTAGGATGGAACAGGAGGCTCTTCATTTTGTAAGCAACCTTCATAAATCTGTGTGAGGGAAACCCACCTTCTGTTTCAACTATCTTTCAAAAAGAGGTTCCCCTTAACAGTAATTCATAGAAAGAAATAAAATCAATCAATCTGGAAAGCCTAGAACTAGCTAGTTCTTGGTTGGATAAGTATGACAGAGAAGCAGAAGCAGCCTAGAAATGTTAATCCAGCACTGTGAATTGAGCCCCTTAGAAATACATTTAGTTAAAATATTTTACCAACATTTTTGTTTCTTTCCTCTAAAATTCAAACCAAATTGCAATAAATCTTGCATTTAGCCATTAGGAAGCAGTGGTCAAAAGCATGAGATGTAGACTCAGATCTGGAACCACACTTTGATTCTGCCGTTTACTGGTCATATGTCCTTAAACTACATAATAGTCTCATTAAACCTTGGCTCTCGTCCCTTAAAATGGGGATAATACCCATAGCAGAGGTTTTTATAAGGATGAGCAAGATACTTTACATAAAACAGTTAACCAAGTACCTGACGTATAGTAAGTGCTCAAGAAATGAAAGCTGTCACTACTCCTCCTCTTCCTGCTGCTGCTACCAAGGGCTGTATTTGTCTGTGGCTTCCTTCAGAGGGATTGTAGATACAAGGATTCCTGTTTTGGTTGGGCCAGAGACTGTTTTATGTAATTTTTTATGGTCTATAGATCCTAAAATTCTCCTTATTTGAGGCTTGGTGACCAAGCAAATTAAAAATTACTTTACACAGTAACTTTCTAGTTTCATGTATAGACATAAGCTTTGAACCAATTTGTTTCAACACAGCCATTTGGAAATGTTAAAGCAGTAAGCAAATGATGTAAAACAGTGTTGTATCATAGCCCCACTTTTGTATATATTTAATGTAAAATAACTAAAATAATGATGACTACCATTAATACTAGACATTTAACATTTATAATTTAACTAATATCCTAATAACCCTTAATTATAGCTGAGATTCAGCAAATTTCATAGCCCATGGTCAAACTGCTAATAAATGATAGAAAGCGGCAGCCAAACCAAATTTGTCCAACTCCAGAACTAATCAATCTCTCATAACTGTGAACTCAATGCATATTCCCTGTTGAAATATAAAGAATATGCTAAAAGGCCACAGAAGATGGCATTTACCTTGGTGAATGCACAGTAGTATAAGATATTAGCCATCCAACACTAGACTTACATTAGTCATCGCGTTTCAAAACGATCAGAAGAGCAGTGATGGGCCAACAAAGAATAAATTCGCACTGGACTGTAATATAAAACAGAGGGCCAATTTATTAGTTTAGAAAGTGGTATCCCTTTCCAGTTTCTAAAATGTCTGTGTCTACAGTATAAGGTAAGGATTCAGGATGCCCAAGAAGATGAATTATTTATCAGGAGATGACTTAGCAAAGTAAATTATCTAGAGGACCATTTCATCCAGGTCATGGGCAGATGTGATGGGCTATTCCTGTTGCATAGCAAAGACTAACTCTCTTGAGGACTAAATTATGAACCAAGTTTCAACATCCTTCTCTCCTGGACAGTGCTACATGCATTGGTATAAAGTTTGTAATATCTCTGAAAAAGGCTTTTCTGTAACTAGTGACCCCTTCTGTTGGTAGGTTCTTTAGCTGTGTTAATTCCACTAATTTAGCTAGGGAACTATTACCAGAAAAGTGGCTGTTACCAATGACATGCTAGACAGTTTGTCTCCTGCAACACATATTGATTTAACTAGTTTTACTTTGTGCAATCATATTTTTCTGGTGTGAGTAGAAAGATGATCTGATAGTTCCTGCTGTATCATCAACTTAAGGAACCAATCTTGTTTTCAGACTGCTCTCCCAAATAAGCTTATTACCACTTATTCAATCCAAAAATTGTTGTATTTGGCAGATATCCGCCTATGTTCAAAAAGAGGGTAAATAACTCTAAGCAGCATGGTCATTTGTTCTTTCATACTTTTAAGTACGTGTTAAAACAAGTTTTTCCAAACTGAACCACCAGGTGGCAGTGCTACTCAAAGCCAGATGTTTGATAGTAGCCATGCTAAGGGTTTTTTAATAGTCAAATTTTCTCTAACAGCTTTCCTCACTTAAATAAAGAAGCAATTGATGGTTTTCCTCACACGTTTTTTAAATTACACATTATTAAATAATAACTTCTACACTCTGATCCTAACCCCTGAGAACTTTACCTCTTGTGCATATAAGCACTTTTCAAAGAAAACTTTAATGTACTGTGTAGGTAAAAACAAAATGAGATTACTTGGTTTCTGTAATAGAATGTTATCTCTGCCACCTGCACGTGTGCGATCCACATGTTTGGCAACTAGAATAACAGCACTTCACAATTTTTCGAGGTAGTTCCATATGGACAGCCAGTCTCCTAGCTGAACCCTATCAAAGCATGGCCTAGATATGCAGAATGACATGCTCTTACATTCCCTGCATGGCAAGATAGAGTACCAAAAAATTATGTCCTGGACCTCACTGGACTAACATACTTCCCACTTTCCCCTGTGCAGAATATTGGGCTTTACTGTTACATGTCTTCAGTTTTATAAAGGGTCAGTGTAATATCACTTAGGGCTATGAGTCTTCTATGACCACTATGTTGGAGACATAGAAAAGTTTGGGATCTGGGGAAAAAAATATTGGCTCCAAAATATAAGAAGAAAACTGCCAAATCAGATTTACCAAATATTTCTTTAAACAGCTCTATGTAACTTGTTACAATTTGTGATTATGTATATATTTTGGTATTTGTTAGAGATCAGTCATCCCATTAGCAAAATGTAATCTCCAGTTTGGACAGGGAACATATCTTCTTTTTTTTTTAATTAATTAATTTTATTTTTAGTTGCATTGGATCTTCGTTGCACACAGGCTTTCTCTAGTTGCGGTGAGCAAGGGCTACTCTTCGTTGCGGTGTACAGGCTTCTCACTGTGGTGGCTTCTCTTGTTGCAGAGCATGGGCTCTAAGTACGCGGGCTTCAGTAGTTGTGGCACGCGGGCTCAGTAGTTGTGGCTCGCGGGCTTCAGAGCACAGGCTCAGTATTTGTGGCCCACAGGCTTAGTTGCTCCGTGGCATGTGGGATCTTCCCCAACCAGGGCTCGAACCCGTGTCCTGGACAAGGAACATATCTTCTTATTCTCCCTCGTGTACCCAGTGCTTAGCAATTAGTAGTGCTTACTAAATACTGGTTAAATAGATGGATCTCCAACTCTGAGATAAATTACTCTAATAAAGGATCAACTAATTCATGCATATTTCATTTTCTAGATGTTTTCCCCAGTGACCTCTGTTTTGCACTTCATTCAAAGAAGTGGATGTTCAGAAGTAAAAAAAGTCAAAAGAAAATGGAAATTGAAAAACTGTATGTGTAGAACCAATAGGGGTAGAAAAAAAGGCTAAGTAGGAATTTAGATATGTGAAATGTATGTACTTTTGCAATAGTATAGACTCATAAGTACCAACTTCTTAAGAAAAATATGCTGATTGTAAGAAATAACATTTTCACAGTGTTTTTGTATTTGTTTGCTTACTTTAGGAATAGTTGTTTCTTATTCAATAACCTAGGGCCATTTTGTAGTTAGTATCATCTCAAAGGAGGCCAATTGAGCAGTTATTATTCAAAATCAGAAATATTATTAAAGCAACATTTTAATTGTATATTGTTATCCAATTAATAGCATGTGTTTCATGTTTCAGTCAGTGGAACTTAGTGAAGTGAAGCATGCAGCTGCAACATCAGGACCAGCATCAGTAGTGGCTGACCCACTGAGTAATGAAAAAGAAATAGACCCTAGCAGCATCCCCACTGCTATCAAGTACCAAGATGACAATTCTCTGGCCCATCCAAATGTAAGATCCTTAAACCTTAAGAATGTCAGTTTAAGTCTAGTTGACTGAAGTTAATTCAAACTGTTGTCCTTTTGGGCTGGTGACAAGAAGACCACTGGAGGAAATGGATCCACATGTTCCTATTTGCTAAAAACAGGCAGCTCACCCCCAGCCTTTAGAGCTGTTACATGTATTTGAAGCTGGTTTGGACCAACTCATGTTACCTGACTTCTAGGAGATTCTTTCTATGGGAAAGAAAAATGGGCAAAAAGAAGTTTTGTTTTATTTTTATTCTGGCACTAAAAGATCTAATTCTGGCTCTGCTCCAGTTGGCTCATGGACTGTGAGCATGTCATTAACACCACGTCGTGCTATCTTCTGTGAATTAGTGTCATACCACTGTGTCTTCAGAAAGATTGTAGGAAATAAACTTTACAAAATGAAATGTAAAATTGCTAACCAATGATTTTGATATTAGTCCTTTTACTCTAAAACTTTCTGAGCATTATTCCAAATAGATGATCTTCAGTTAAGAGGTCATCAAGATTTAAATAGTATCCAAATCTTGTGCTGAAGGATGTATTCTATACAAGTGATTTTTAAGGTCAAATCTAAGTTATTGGCAGACAATAACATTTTCTCTTCTTTTTTCTTTTTTTATTTCAGTTATTTATTGAGAAAGCTGATGCTGAAGAAAAGTGGTTCAAGAGATTAATTGCCCTCCGACAGGAAAGGCTAATGGGCAGTCCTGTGGCCTAAAGTTATGTTCATCTGGTTGAATTAACAGTAACATTGGAAATTTAGGTTTTTAAATCCCAGTATTAACTCTTAAAAATAAGATAGCTTATTATATAAAAAGGTAACCTCATTTCATTCTTTTCTCATGTAGGCTTGAATATTTGTTGAGTTGAACTTAATCAAATATTGTGAATATTAAAACTAGTGTAAAGTTTAAGAATGCATGAAAATGTCATACTGTTAATAAAGCTAATCCTGAACATATTGGTATTAAGGCAAATGGTACACAGGAGTGTTTCTGAGTACAATTTGAAAAATATCAAGTTGCCATTTAAAGACACAATTTTGACTAGTCATGCATATAAAAGAGTCGAAGTATATGCTATAAATATGAGATTTTATCTTCCACGTATTATAAAACCATATTTGAATCTTTTATTTCACCTTATTGAAAAATTTTAGGCACAACAAAAAGCACTGTAAACAACCTAAGCAGTATGAACCATGTTACTCTTAGAGGAATAATACATTTAGTAAAAAAAACTACTTGAAAATTAAATAAACTGATGGTTTATTTGCTTAGAGATCAGCTTTTACTAGGTGATCCTTTGAAACATGTTAGCAGGTCCCAGCTCATTCTTTTAAAAATTACATGTTCATGCTAGACCTAAGCACTTGGCCAAATACTCATGATGGGGAATTGTTTCTGAGAAAACTGGTAAGAGCTCTCACTTCAGTGTTACTTAACCAACTGCTATACCCTGCAGAGGAAGCCAGCTAATTGTAGTTTTGATAAGGCTATCTGTCATCGTAGAATACCTTTCTCTGGTAGCTGAATGAAAATCAACTATGCATTCCATACTGAACAGGCCAGAGATAAGGACTTTTAGGCCTGCCTTACAAACTGCCTTCAGCAGCTGACATGAGTTATTTCCCTTTTCTATTTTGTTCTGCTCGAATTTGTATCTATGAAGACTGTAGCCCAGAACACAAGATAAGCATGAAAAGTTCTTGGGCTAAGATTACCAATATATAGGACATTTTGATGCCATCTTTTTGTATTTCTGAAACTACTAAAGTTGTAATCCCTGTTAAAAATGAAAAACATAAAGAACGTAAAATCAGTTGCAAAAGGGATGGAAAATAGACTGATGACCAAATACTTGTTTTTATACAAACATGTTTTCATATTCTAAATATATGCTAGTGGGGTTTTTTTCCTTAGCTATAAGTGGAAGTGCCCAGTATGAACTCAGGTGTGTGTGGTTTTCAACATACACAAATTTTTAGTGATTTTTAAAAGGGATTACTGGTACTGAATAATTTTATATTTCCTTTATTACATAACTTATAAATAGTAAAAGGACTATCACCCTTTGGGGAATTATATTTTAGTGGTCTAGGCAAGAATATGGGTTGTCATTTGGGCCACTAGTGATTCTCCAGAGAAGCTAGACTAGGCATTTTTTCTCAGTATGCCTGATGTTCCTCATTTATAACACAGTGAAAATATTATGATCCACTTTAATTATATTTCACACCAGAGTTCCTCTTTGGCAAGTACCCCAAATACAGATGCTTGAACTGCAATAGATTTATATTTTAAAGCTAAATTTCTCATAGAGATAGAGAATCAAGTTATTTTTTTAATTAACTAAACTTTAGTCCCTGCTAAACTCAATGACTATTCCCCTTCTTCCTGATTTCCAGTGTGATTCATTTTAATATATTATTAACTTTGTTTGCCTGCATCCTGTTGAAGACTACAATATTACCACATAAGCCAAATCAAATTTAATGAGAAAGACTTCATAGACCACTATCAAACATATCACCAAACTCACGGTAGGCGATCCATGCAGGCCTTCTTTAATATCCTAATATAATGACTCTATAAAACAGAACAGTCCCTTTCATGTCAGTTGACTAGTGGCAACAGTTTGGACTTACATGAGACCTCAGAGTGTTTTTTGAAACATTGACTTCACACAAAATGATGAGTACTAATAATACAAGTTTTCATTTCTGAACAAGTGCATTTTCAGGGAAAATGGAATAAGAACTTTTTTTTTCTGGCACTCCCTAATTACGAGGAGGCAGATACCTAAGAATATGAGCACACAACATGCTGAGTCTTTCACCTACTTCATTTCAGCATCCCAGCAGGTGAAATGAGGATACTAATAGCCTATCTGCCTATTTTGATTTTTCAGTAAAATAACACAAAAGAAAGCCCGTGGTAGAAGAGTGTACTGTTTATGCCAAGGGAACATTTTGGCATGGTAGCCCATCTTAACGGAAATATGGAACAAATAGTCGCATGGGTAATTATTTGAAAAACTACACTCCATCTTCAGTGTACTCCTTATGTATGTGTTTGAACTGCCATGGCCAATAGACCCCAGCTTTGTCCCCAGATTTCTCTGATGTCCCTCCCTGCCAAGACCACAAGAAACCCTGATTGCTCTGCAGTTAGTGACCTACTATCTGCTTACTGGGGGATCTCAGGGCTTCTTCCATCAGATTTACCCACTTACTCGTTAACGTTTTTTTGACTACCTAGTTTGTGCTAGGCAGAGTAAGGGTAGTTGGGTATACATAGGTGAATCCAGTGGGGATCCTGCCCTCAAGAGGCTTAGTTATGAAGCCCAGACATGCATATGACATAAGAGATATAATACTTAGTGGCAGAGGAGAGGACATGGTTGCAAAAAAGAGAGAGATTACTGCAAGTGAGAAAATTAAGGAAGCCTTTGGAGCCACAGGAACTCACAGCTATCCACTTCCACCTTCCTGGTAGCTGCTGTAGGGGTCTGGGAACTGTTGCACTTCCAACCCAAGGAAGAGTCCCCCTTGTGAAAGACCCAAGTGGCCCTGCCCTCTCGATCCTATTAAAATCCAAGCAAAATTTTAGGTTCCTGGTCGCCCTCTGGCTTTCTCTGATCATTTCTTCCTTTTGGTGGAGAATCAGCTGAATAAGCTGATTTGGCCACTATCATCAGTCTTGTATCACCACCACTTGTCAGCCAAGATGACTTGAGTGAGACGTGTAATGGTAGCTGAAGGAGACTTTCAGTACTTCTAAGAAAGGATTGCATCTGCCAGTAAGGCCTTGCACAGAAGTGGGGACAACGGTGTGTTCCCTAATCCCCTGTTTTTCCATTGTGTGCTATTACAGAAAGCATTGTTTTGGAATGAAAAGACACAGTTCATTTCCTTGTGGTTAGGTCTGTCTCCAAATTTTCCTTTGATTTGGGTATCAAGTGAAAATCTTGGTATCAAGTGAGTAACTAAGGTAGTAACAAAAGCTAGAAATGAAACAAGACACGGGACATTTTTGGTCACTAAACTATGGATGAATTGATCTGGAATTCTTACACCCATGTTACTCCTTCCTTGCCCCCCTTTTCCTACCCCCAAATTCCTCATGAGTATGACAGAAGAGGTCTTGAACCAGCTTCTGGCCATTACTCAGTGGATACAGTGCTTGAATTATTCAGAAAATGTTTAAATGCCATCCTTTAAATGTAAGCCCTACTTATTACTCTTTGGAACTCCTTTATGGAATAATGGAAAAGCGAGTCATCTTGATAAGAAAATATCTGAGTCTTTACAGAAGAACAAGGATAAAAATGGAGGTAAGAAAGAACTCTTTGTGAATTCTCTAATCATCTTCACCTTTTTTCATAGAGATGGGTGTTGATCAGTATATTCTATTTGGTGGGTTCTTTCCCAAATGAAAGAAAATGCTCTGTCATCATGTATTTCCAAGTTATTTTTGCTGTTATTGTATCCCCAGAATCTAGTCCATGCCTGACACAAGAAGTCTCTCAATAAATATTTGTCAATGAAGGAAAAATGAATTTGCTCATCTTAAATGGGCAGTCTGTTTAGCAGTATGGCTATTTAAAATACTCAAGCTATTTGGAGCCAGTGCAAAAACAAATAGGTGTCTAGGTATGTACCCAAAAGAATTGAAAGCATGGTCTTAAAGAGGTATTTGTACACCCATGTTCATAGCAGCATTATTCATAATAGCCAAAACAGGGAAGCAACTCAAGTGTCCATGGATGGATGAAGTAAAATGCAGTGTGTGTGTGTGTGTATATATATATATATATATATATATATATACACACACGATGGAATATTACTCCGCCTTAAAGAGGAAGGAACATGTATGAACCTTGAGGACATTATGCAAAGTGAAATAATCCAGTCACAAAAAGACAGACGCTATATGATTTACGTAGAAGAGGTACTTAGAGTAATTAAAATCATAAAGGGGGAAAGTATAAAGGTGGTTGCCAGGGCCTGGGGTGAGGAGAAGTGGGTTTATTGTTTAATGGGAATAGAGTTTCAGTTTTATAAGATGAAAAGAGTTATGGGGATGGATGGTGGTGATGGTTGTACAACGGCGTGACTATGTTTAATACCACTGAACTGTACACCTAAAAATGGTTGAGGTGGTAACTGTGTACATTTTACCACAATTTAAAAATCTATTTAAAAAATACTAAATAAAAAAAATAGATGAGTTTTGTGACCAGATTAGTTTGGTTTCTGTGATTTGTGTCTCCACACGTCTCTGAGCTGACAAAGGCCTTTGGAATTCCTGGGGAATATAGAGTACACCGGTCTTCTCTATTACATTAGCGACTAACAACAGTGGGGCTAGAGTTTAAGCAAGGATCTTACTAGTCTTCACTTGCCTAGACTTTCTTTCTGGGCCAATTTTTATATTATATAAATAATATTTTAAATGATGTAGATGTGGTCATTCAAGGTCCACCCACCGGCTTCTGTGACTGCTCTCCTTGCAAATGATAGGTCAGTTTTAAAGAAGTAAAGTCTACCAATATAGTAAGACAACACTTTTAACTCAACAATGTACCATTTTATTTTTAGGTCTTGAGAAGGAATGGCAAAATGATCCTGCTGCAGTGCTAGGAGAGAATGATGAACTGAACTGACCCTCTCTTCTTCACATCTTGTAACATGGTACTCAGGCTTAAATCCCAGTGTACAAAACCTAGTATAGTGCAGGCTCCCTTCATAATCTTTTAAAAGATGAACTGCTAAAATCCCATGTCTTGAATAAAATCCGTAACTACAGTTTATCTACCTGTTCGTGTTCCATGAAAATATCACAAGCTTAAAATGGAATTGAAAACAAATAATTGAGAAATAAATAAATGTTTACCACATACCAGCACAATGGTTTGAATGCCTATGTTAAAGATTGGGTAGACTTTTTAAACAAATTCTGTAACTGGATTATTTATATAGCCCCATTGTAGCTTTTCTTCTTCCTCTTTCTGCCATAGTAAATCTAAATGACCTGGAGAAGATAACTCATAACTCATTTACTAATAGTTTGAAAAAATACTTTTTTCAGAACGCTTTGTATTTGAATCAGCCGCAGTGTTACTACATGCAGGGAAAATGAGGAGTCATCCAAAATTATAATCTCCCATAAATATACTTTCTCCATGTTTGAAATAGTTCATTTCAAAAAAAATTTTATACCTACCATAGAGCATAATTAGCAGCCCAGTCCCTGTGTTATGTAATAGCTGTTCCATCTAAAACACTTAAACTTCAGGAAGTAAACCATTTTCACATTAACATTTGTTAATGTGAAAGCACACTTGTGTTTCCAAGGTCATGTGGGCCGTTTTCAGCAAAGGTGCTCAGAGACTTTCAACTCACTTTTTTTACAATTAATAAGAGAAAGTGACAAGTGACTGGTAAATAGGTTAGTATTCGACACAGTCTAGAAAATATCAGAGACTCAGTTTCTGTTTGGGATTCTTAATTTGAAGTTCCAATTTCTAAATATGTTTATCTTGCTATACTAACTGCAATATAATTCCCAAAAGGCATTGTTCAATTAATTTCTAAATCCCTTTGAAAGGCGTTTACACAGACCTTAGAGAGCTTTGAAAGGGTTACAAAATTCATCAAAGAGTTCTTATTTTTTGAAAAACCTGTTTTAGAATTTACCACAATCGATGACAAAAGTCTCTGTCTTTTCACTAACAAAGACAGCATAGATTTGAAATGTATTTTTGCTTTCGGAGTTTAAAAAATAATATAATGTTTAAATGTCGATGGGGGATTTGAATATTGGATTCTAGTTCAAATGTGAAATTTGTAAGTTAAATATCAATGGCCACCACTTTACTAAACTAATTCTCTTTCTGATAAGTACTTCAAAACTTTCTCAATATTCATTTATATATTTTTTCTATAAATTATATAATTTATGCAAGCTAGCAAATGGCCACATATAATTTATTAAATTTGCTCATTTGCTAGAAAAAGTGTACACAAAATGAGAGTTATATCATGAATTAAGCTTTTTCTTAAGTGATATCTTTCACATTTTGTGATTTGGGTTTTTTTCTTTTTTCTCATTGAAAAATACTAACAAAACACAAAAAGGAAGGTCATCCATGTGGAACCAGTTTTTGAATGTAAACATTATCTGTCCCTCTTAGTCGGCTGCTGCGTTGTCTGTTGCCTCTGGTGACCATTATTAACAGTCATCCCGGCCTTTCCCTCTGCTTGAACAAATACGGCTCTGTTGAGATATTGACATATGGGCTCTCTTTTCAGACCATGAAAACAGATTTGTCTCCAGTTAATTTTTTTCCCGGATCATATTCCTTAGATAACTTTCCTGAGCAGTACATCTATATGCCTCATTGTTTTTAATGGCTGCGTAGATCCCTAAAAGTGGAATCGCTAGGACATAGGGTGTGTACCTTTCACATTTTAACTAGTAAATAACAGCAACAATAAGTTAACTTTCAAATTGGATGATTTCATGCAAATTAAGATTATCTTCAAATCACTCAAGAACTAAAAAGTCATTTTATAATGAGAGGACATTATATATAGCTAGTTCTCGCCATCATCCATCAGAATCATTCTTCAGTCTTTTGTTCTCTGCAGTGTCCCAGGAGGCTGACCTTTACAGACTATATCACCCAGTTTCCCTTGCCCTCTGGCTTCTGGTTGGGTTCGGCCAATAGTAGGCACTAGCAGGAAATCACAGGAAGGAGGAGAGAGAATTGGGTCTCTGTACCCCTGCTGTTTCAGTTGTGGTTGCTTTCCTAAGTGTGGCTAGCCCCTCTCTCAAGGATACAGTTCCCACCATGTTATAGTAACAGCTCCCTCCTCCTGCCTTCTGACCTGGAGGCTGGGGCAGTTTCCGGTAGCTGTTAGTCCCTGATTGGCTTCCTTAACCCTGCTCACATCTCTGTATATATTGCCTTCGTTAAACTCTTTTGAGTATGTCATTTGTTTCCTGCTGGGACCAAAGCAGATAAAATTATCTGCAAGGGCAGTGTATCAATTAGGATTAATTATAGCAATTAGTTTTGGCTTGGTAAACAATGACAACAGTAACAACAAACAGTGGCTTAAGTAAGAAAAACGTTTATTTCTCTCTCAAATGAAAGACATTTAAAGGCAGGTATGGTGGCTTCACATGTGAGGAACCCTGACTCTTGCTCTAACATCCTCATTAGGTAGGTGGCTTCCACCATGTGATTCAGTCCGGCTCTAGCCATCGTACTCACATCCCACTGCCCACATTCCGGGCAGTGTGAAGGATGTACTTACTCCTTTCCTCTTAAGAAGACTCAGAAGTTAAAATTAAAGGAAACTTGGAAGTTTGTATGTCATCCCTTAGAACTTAGTCACCTGACTACTCTCCTGTTGCAAGAGAGATTAGGAAATGTATTTCAGCTTGTCAGAGCAGAAAATAGCCTGATAATTATGAATCTTACTATTTCCTTTAAAAATATAGAAGATCCTAAAGAAACCTGGCTACACAGCACATCTGCCCATTCAAATTTTTGCTAATTCAGAAAATAGTTCCATCAAATGCTGCTGGGTGGCATACTCCCGTTTCCAGCTCTCCAAAGGCCGCTTGACAAGCATCCTTTTCATGAAGTTACAGTAAGCTGTGACAGCAGTAGCTTTATGTACAAACATTTCAAACATGAAGTGAGTGAGTGGCATTTCGACCCTGAGAATCCCTAATCACCATTGCTCCTCAGTTCTCTATTCCAGGCCAGTACTCATCGGCTAAGGGTAGTTCTCGGAGCCTGAATGCATCCCATTTAGAGAGGTCTGGCATGAATGTTTCAGCTTGACTCTGTGTCAAAATGGTATGACGTCTTGAGGTGAGGGCCCAGGGGAAAGGAGGCACCAAATCATCCGTTTAACTCATGTGCCTAATCACCTCCTTTTCCATTTAAGTAGTTTCCACGTCTATTCAACTTTTTCTCCTTGAAGGGAAAAAAAGAACCTTTCATTCATCTTATCTTGTAAGCACATGGAAAATGCTCAATTCAATTCTTATTCTATATTTACCAGCCAACCTTTGATCAATGATTTCTGTCTCCACCAGTAGGATCTTCCTGTCAACAAATATTTGAACTTACTAAAAAATTGAATTAACTAGGTGTGTGATCTCTTGTGAGTGAAGCAATAAATATGAATTTTTTCAGCCTGCTCTCACTCCCAAAAAGCCAAGTAAACCATCTAAGGTAAATGAGAGGCATAGTCTGATTCTCTGTGTCTTAGGAAGAAAGGTTGAAAAGGAGGCTCCCAGTGCTTCAACTCTTCCCCAGCCAATGTATCAAAGTCGTAGATCAGCCAGAAATTAGGGGCAGGAGTCCCAACTAGTAATAGAGGTGCATTTGCCTGGAGCGTGCCCTTGCTTATATTTCTGGCAACCAGGTGAGCCGTCCGGAAGGGGCAGGGAAATAGATGAGAACCTCAACTCTAACATGTAAGCCACAGGTAACAATATGTAGTTAAGTATTTATTACCCACTGTGATGGCTTTAAAACATGTCTGCAAATTCTTTGACACTTCTCCCATTGAGGGGGCGGGGAGGGGTCTATATCCCCTTCCGTGAATCTGGGTCAATCTTGGTGACTTGCTTTTAACCAACAGAACACACCAGAAGTGACACAGCATAACTTCCAAGACTAGTTCAGGAAAGGCTTATGCCTAATTCTCTTGGGATACTCACCCCAGAACCCTGAGCTGTCATACAAGATGCCAATTACTTAAGGGCTGCCGTGTTGTGAGAAAACCCAGGCAATACGGAGAGTCCTCATGTTGGTGTCCTGGCTGACAGTTCCAGCTGAGGTTCCAGCCAACAACCAGCATGTGAGTGCAGACTCCTGCAGCCACAGTCCCCCTAGCTGAGGCCCTTCAGATAAGCCATCTTCATTTCCCAGTCTAAACTCCTTACCCACAGCATCTATGAATGTAATAAAATGGCACCTCCATACCACAAAGTTTTGAGGTGGTTTGTTACACCGCAAGAGTAACCAACCCTATTGAGTCACTGAAAACCTGGTTGAACCACATACTAATAAACACTGATGTTTATATGGAGGTCTGCTGAAAGCTGGATGATTGCCACTGTTAGCAGAGACTGCATGGCATGGTGGTATGAAGTGAGCTATAGAGTTAAACCTAAGCCTAAACCCCCTAAGCCTCTGTTCCATGATCTAGTAAACAGGAATAGTAATTCCTATCTTGCAGAATTTGTATGTGGATTAGAGCTGATGTGTGTACAACACTCAAAAAGTACAGTGCCTAGCAAAGAGCCAGAATCAATTAAACAAATAGTTAAGAATAGCAGTGCTGTAATTTTCTGATTTTATACTCCCTACCATTTCACTTAGATTGAAGCTTTATGCTCTTGTGAGTAATCTTATTTCATAAAGCCGACTTGCCATATACAGCTCAGTTGGACAGACAGATCTATAAGAGTATTTGGGTTAAATGGTAAATATAATTAGAAAATGAGAGTACCATGTAAAAACAAATACTGGGTTATTTAGTGCCTTTAGCTAGAAATCGGCTTGTCCTACAAGCTGACTGCCATGAGTAAGACTGAATAAGCCATAATCATCAAAGTGACTGAGAATTAAGAAAGAAAATTAATTTGCAAAGGTAATCGCTAT